AGCATACGAAACCCCATGTTTCGCAAACTTTCGCAACCTTAGTTTTTCGAGGGTTGAAAAAAACAAGAAGTAATCTAAAAACGACATTGAAAATTATGAAAACTCGCTAAAACTCCGACCCGTTGCATGATTTCCAGTACACTGAAGGTCACCCTGCAGACCGGCTTGTTTGCGCATGCGTAGTGAACGAAATATTTTACTGCGCAGATATGAAATTTTTTTTTCAAGTTTTCCGTTTCCAGCAAAGCAGTTGATAAGGGCGTATCGGCGGCAACTAACATGGAGTATGACTAATGTTGTGGAAACAAAAGCGAAAGCACTGTAAGATAAACTAAGACAAAGGTTTTTTTAATCCTCTTAGTTCCGTTGTTCTTCCTGGGGTTTATAGTTCCATGGTTGTACACATATTCATACTTTTCACACTTCCTCTTTTCACCACCAGTTTCCTCTTTTTATCACAAATTCACAAAGTAGTCCTGTTTATAGTCTGCACTTCCCTTCAGAAGATTGAAACCAAAATAGCCATTTTTGAATGAAAACTGAAAATTGACTTTAATTTTGCCTGTTGGCACAAAAATTAGGGTTCATTTCCGGAAATATTAAACAAATTGAAGAAAAGTTTCGACAAATTCTGGTGGCAAAAAGGTTAAAACAGGTGAGGGGGTGGGCTGTTAATTTTCTTACTGGATAAGACAATGATAATCAAGGGCTTCATGTTATCAATCCAAGGGAAGCAGTGTGAGGATTGTGTGTTATCTGTGTGTACTACATGTATCCCTACAAAGTCCAATGCTTGGGGAGGCCAGAGTCTGTTGGCTACACATAAGATGATTTAGTCTCTTGGAAGATTAACATCATGCTAACTGTGCCACAATCATTAAATCAATTTTGAAAAAAGATATGATTTTAATGGAAAGAAGTTGTACCACTGATTTGTGTTATTGATTGTTGCCCTGGCATATAAGGCTTATGCATTCAGACTAGACGATAAACAAAAGGGTTCTTTTATAAACAACAAAAAATTGTTTATACAAAGTTCAACCTATTGTCATTACAAAGAAATATACAGATCAATTCATATCCAACTAAATATAATAACATGATATCATGTAGTTCAAAAAAAATAAAGACAGACTAGTGTGACAGTAGACTTTGCGGGTCACATGCATTGCAATGTGGCTTCTCTATTTCAATAAACCATCAACACATTAATGAAAGTTTTCATTGTGTTAAAGAATAACATGTGTAATTCACTTACCAATATTATATATTAAGTATTCGCAAGATGTAATTATGAATATTCATTAAATGCAAACACAGTATAACGTGATAAAAAAGAAGAATGCCCTCACATATCAATGATAGAGCTTAAGAAAGCGCATGATTACTACTGGTGTTAGTTATCGTAGGCGATGATAGCGAAAGCTGTTAATTCGACAGTTAATTACTAAGAAGTTAATTACTAAGAGGTGTTGGCGTGTACCTTGTTCACATATCCTGGAAGTTGTTAAGGCGACAGGAACTTGCTTATATGTCAGAATAAGTTGCAGAGATTGTTGTTATGGGCCACTGTAGAAATTTGCTGTCATTCACTGGTGTTCTTTGGAATTGTTGTGATAATTTGAATATGTTGATTGGTTACTTAGAAAATAATATGATTCATGATTGGGTACTTAGAAACCGATGTGATACATGATTGGGTACTTAGAAACCGATGTGATACATGATTGGGTACTTAGAAACCGATGTGATACATGATTGGGTACTTAGAAACCAATGTGATACATGATTGGGTACTTGGAAACCAATGTGATACGTGATTGGGTACTTGGAAACCAATGTGATATATGATTGGGTACTTCGAAACCAATGTGATACATGATTGGGTACTTGGAAACAGATGTGATACATGATTGGGTACTTAGAAACCAATGTGATACATGATTGAGTATTAATAAACCAGTGTGATGTGAGATTAGGTACTTAGAAACCGATGAGATATATTATTGGGTACTTAGAAACCAATGTGATATACAAAATGTATTATTGGGTACTTAGAAACTGATGTGATATATGATTAGGTACTTGGAAACTGATGTGAAAATAATATGATTGGGTACTTTGAAATCAATGTGATACATGATTGGGCACCTAGAAACTGATGTCAATATGGTCGCATGAAATCATACAGTCAGGATGTAATAATCACATGACTTCATGTTCTGTTTGCAGTCTGTAGTATCCCCCTATTAGAAAATTATGTTAGCAACGACGAGCAATTCAACGCTTCGAGTTTCATTGACGGTTTCCCGCCTTATCACAGCAGACTACATTCCAATGGCGCCTGGAGCGCTGCTGACAATACTGATGATCAATGGTTGTCGGTGGATCTTGGCGAAACCATGCACATAACTGCCATGGTTTCACAAGGCCGCAGTAATGCAGATGAGTGGGTGACAGCCTATACATTAGAGTACAGTCCCGATGGTGAAAATTATGAATCGTTCAAAACATCACAAGACGATATACTGGTAGGTTGAATTAGCATGTACACTCAACATCAACATAGCAGTTTTCAAACACTGACCTGCACTTTTTACAAAGGAGCTTGTTACCATGCAGGCCCCAAATAGCAAGCACGAGCACAGGGTCAGATTCATTAAATTTTTAACAGCCTATAAAAGTTTATTCTTGAAAATATAAAAATAAAATCAATTCTCAACCCACGAAAACCGTTGACGTGACTTAATTGGAGGGATGAGAGCGAAAATATTCAGTTTCTTGAAATTCCTCTGTACGTCAGCTGATGTCAATAACCAAGATGGGGCTCTACTTAGCACTGTTTCCTTTTATCCTTGTCGCTACCTTTAATAATCACTAGTCATAATGTATTGTTTATTATGTTTAGATATTCCAGGGAAATACAGACAGAAGTACTGAAGTTAAAAATGACATATCATCTCCAGTAGTCGCTCGCTATGTTCGCATTCATCCTTTATCATTTTCAGGGCATATCAGTATGCGAGTTGAAATCTTGGGCTGCAAATATGGTGAGTGATTTTTATTGACGAAAAATGGTACTGTAAATGTACTGAATGTATTTTAATGTGCTTTATTTGTGTTACGTACTTGGCTTATAATGTGTGGATATTATGGGTATTGTACAATAAAGGTAAAACTGAAAACTATTTGGTGATTTTGTATTCACTGAGAGATTTTGTGTACTGTATGAAAAGTGAAAAATTTGATTTTGAACTTGTATTTCATTTCAATGTTGACATGTCAATCTATCTGAGAGGAATATGGGGTTGAGTTAATCTTACTTTATTAAAATGGACCATCATCAAATGTGTATAGCACATAATTTAGCATGGAATGTTTTGATGCCACTATGCTATTTTGTTTGTTTGTCGATATTACATTCAATTTTGTGGATAACGCGAGATCTTGCAGTGAATGGAACATTGTCTACTGTAAAATACTTTATTTTCACTGGAATTTATTTTCGCTGAAAAGACTTTTTAGGTGTGTTATATGGAATTTATTTTCTCTGATTTTTGGCGAGTTGAATGTAAAAGATAGGAAAACAGGTATATTCGCTGGATTTTATTTTCACTGAATCATTCCTTTAGCGAAAATAGCGAAAATTACTTCCAAGCGAAAATAAAGCATTCCACAGTATTTCAGGTGAGATAGGTATAGAAAATCTCAACTTCTATTTGTTGTCTAATAATTTCAGAACCAAACTATTGTGTAGGCGTGGATTGTCAAAATGGCGGCACTTGCGTAAGTTATCCTCTGCAGCATGTTTTTGAGTGTTTGTGTGATCATGGATACACCGGCGAATATTGTGAACGAGGTTAGTATTACGATTAACAGAGTTTTCATTATCTAACCAGAGAGAATACATTGTTCCTATAAATCAGGCCCTCTCATCAAAATAACATATAAAGGGGTGAAGGCAGTGTCATTCAAATCGTTTGTGTGGTCGTCTGTCATCTATAGTACATTAAAATATTTCAAAACAGCTTCATTGATGCACATCAAAATGATATTGATGATTTTGAACAGTCTTCATGTCACCCATCATAGATGAGCTTCGCAATAGAGGGCTTGAGTTATAAGAAAGGTTTATTATTTTTAGTCCCCGTTCGAACGCAGTCCGAAAACGGGGACTTATGTTTTGACCTCTGTGTGTCCGTGCGTGCGTCTGTGCGTGCGTCCGGACCTGTATCTTAGATATGCCTGGACCAATCACAATCAACTTCACACATACATCATACATGATAGTATAAATATGCACGTCAATTTGTTTCCATTTTTGTGCTAAAAAGTCATCAAAATCAAGCATTTCTCGGCTGTTTACAGATGGATTTTGTTCAAACTTGGTATATACATTAGACATTATGGGACCTTGATGCAAATAATTTTGTTTTTCAGATAAGATTTAAAATGGCCGACTGGCGGCCATTTTGTTTTAATGAATGTGGTTCTCGTGCCATATCTCTGACTTGCTTTCACTGATTATGTTCAAATTTTAAATATTCATTATACATCATGTCATAGACAGATATATTGGTTTGACGATCCTATTCAAAATGGCCGAATGGTCAAGCATTTATGGATGGATTTCGTTGAAACTTGGTACATATGTTAGACATTACAGGTTCCTGATCGGATTCAAAATGGCTGTCTGGCGGCCATTTTGTTTTAATGATTGGGCTTCTAGAGCCATATCTCTTAAATGCTTTGACTGATTATATTCAAATTTTATATATTCATTATACATCATGTTATATATATACATGTATTCAAAATGGCTGATTTTGAATGCTGTTCCAGAGCAATATCTCTCAATATGGACAAGTACTTTTTTGACATGGTTATATTCCAGCTATATTACTATAAACAAAACTATATATAACTATATATCTTAAATTTGATTACTAACGGGGACTGTGCCATGCATGGCTTGTTGTTTTCGTTATGTCACAAATTATTCTGTACCTGCCTGTCGACTAGGATATACCCAGAACATCTTTTTTTTGTTGTCACTGCAGCCACACTATACTCAAACTTGTTGAATTTGTATGACTTTTGTTCTATAAACATCAATCAATCACAAACCTCTAGCAGATTACCTGATATTTATGATTTAGTTTGCTTTTATATATAGAAGTCACATGTCGCAACCCACACCAGTTGTCAGGTATTTTGAACATGTATCCTCGGGCGGACATCCGGGCATTTTCACAGCTTGGCAAAGGCTAAAAACTCACAGAAAACGGTACTTTGGGATGGTTGTTGGGACTCCCCTGAAGAGTGTAACAAGATTAGCCCTACGTGTGTAACATATATAAATTTGGTTGTTTGGGATTACTTCAAAGTTGAGCTTGTGTTTGTTTTCTCAAATTTTCACTGGCTCGACCGGCGTTCTACAGCAGCACGCACAGAGCCCATAAAAATGCATGTACAGTGGTGTGTGTCTTAGCAACGTGGAACGTCTGTGACGTAGCTCCGCCTTCGAGGATTACATTTTTCAATAATTTTGACTTCTATATTCAGATGACATTTAGTTGTACAGCATTTCTCTGGTCGA